AGCAAAAATTCTGTGAAGGGAGCAAAGTTATTGCATAAAAGACGGCCCATTTGGAAACATTTTTGGTAGCTATATGGACAGCCCAATCCTAAAGAAAAAGAATTTTAGATACACTATCTCATAATTATTTCCCCTCCCACATATTTTGATTGATCCTGTGAAGATTAAAGAAGAAAGTGGAAAAGCAGGATTGCAGCTGAACATTAGGAATACAAAAACAATGACCACAGAAAAATTATATAATCTTAATACTGACAAAAGGTAAAGGTAAAGGTAAAGGTTCCCCTTGGCAATTTTTGTCCAGTTGTGTTCGACTCTAGGGGGCGGTGCTCATCCCCGTTTCCAAGCCATAGAGCCAGGAAAAGCAGGATTACAGCTGAACATTAGGAATACAAAAACAATGACCACAGCAAAATTATATAATCTTAATAGTGACAAAGAAGAAATCAAAACAGATATTTACTGTAGTTCGGTTGAGTCATAAATCCAAAGGGAGACTGCAGCCAAAACATCAAAAGACTGACATTTTAAGAAGATCAGAAGGACTGAGATTTGGAAAGGCAGATATGAAAGAAGTAGAAAAGGCCAAAAGCATCCATACCACATATTCCTGATTACTAGATATGAAAGTTGGATAATAAGGAAAACTGAGAAGGAAAAAATTCATTCATTCACAATGTGGTGATTAAGAGGAGAGTTTTGCAGATGCTGTGGACCACCAGGAAGCTAAATAAGTGGGTTCTAGATCAGCTGAAGCTTGAACACTCATTAGAAGCTAGAATGAATAAATGGAGACTATCATACTGTGGACATATCATAATAGACAAAGAAGAAATCAAAACAGATACTTACTGTAGTTTGGTTGAGTCATAAATCCAAAGGGAGACTGCAGCCAAAACATCAAAAGACTGACATTTTAAGAAGATCAGAAGGACTGAGATTTGGAAAGGCAGTTATGAAAGAAGTAGAAAAGGCCAAAAGCATCCATACCACATATTCCTGATTATTAGATATGAAAGCTGGATAATAAAGAAAAGTGAGAAAAAAAATTTCATTCATTCACAATGTGGTGATAAGAGGAGAGTTTTGCAGATGCTGTGGACCACCAGAATGCTAAATAAGTGGGTTCTAGATCAGCTGAAGCTTGAATACTCATTAGAAGCTAGAATGAATAAATGGAGACTATCATACTGTGGACATATCATAATAAGATTCACTGGAAAGGACAATAACGTTAGGAAAACATTTACAGCAAAGGTAGATATAAAAACTGGAAGAAACTGAAATCCTGAATTGGTTAAAAGTTGGCTGGTACCTCTTTGATATTTTCTACACATCAAGAAGCTCCTAAAAAACAGAACTCTTTAGGGAGGCTTTTGGGGAGACCCTCCTTAGTTAATCAAGAGAGGAGAAAAAAGGAAGGGAAAATAAAATAAGGGGACACCTTATTGTCAATTTTATTGCTGCCTATTCTGCTACATAATAGTTATAATTACCTGGTTTTTGGCTATAGTTGTTAGATCTCATAATATATTTTGTTTTCAGTGTTATGCTGTACACCACCCAATGGTTTCCACTAGATGGACAGTCTAGAAATTTAATAAGTGAATGAACGGATAAATAAAATAATTTTTCCCACAGCCACTGCTAAAATTTCCTCTTGCCTGGCAAAGCTGCCGTTTCTTTGCTTCCTGCTTCCCTCCACCAGAGGTCGCTGTTCTCCCTATTCCCGCTTTGCCCACTCACCCTAAACGGGGCATCCTGACAGTTCTAAACAGCTGTCACTCCCGGTTCTGATTAAAATGTCCTCTATGCCAGCTGCCTCCCACATTTATTTTGCTCTTTGTATGTGCCAACTCCCTTATTAGCTGTCAGGATAAAATTATGGAATAAAATGTTTGCGGTTTCTCTCCAGTCCTTATAAAATTTTAAAATAAAGTTAAAAGCCAAGAGAAGGGTGGGTGAAAAAAAAATACACATAACAGCACAGTGAGATCACTAAAGAAATAAACTCACTTGTTCTAATTATTTAGTTTGTAGGACAACAAGGATAAGGAAGCATCCTAGCTAGTGAAAAAGGAAGTCTCTTATATGGTCTTGCTCATGGCCCTATGCTGAGGCTGGGTTGGATCAAGTATTTTGTTAAGCATCCTTCAGTCTTGAGAGACTATGGTAATGTGCTCTGAATGGAGGACTTGGAACAGCCTCTAGTGTGGCTCCTAAAACTTTCCTCCCCCCCCCACCCCCCCCGGGTGTATGCAATGTTATTTGGCTTTCCTATTTACCAGATTAGAGTCAAAAATGGAATCAGAGAATTTCACGCACCATTAGGTGCGTGCTTCTGCCAGCCCATATTTAAAGCCAAACTCCTGCCCCCTCAGACCATGCGGTCAGGGAGAACAAAGGTCATCCTAGAAGAAAATACCATACCAAATAAAACGTCCTCCCAAACAGAGCTCAGCTCCTCTTCAGGAACAGGGATCAAGTATATCCTGTCCTAATCACAAGAATTTGAGAACTAGAGGGTGATAGGAACTTGGTTCCGTTATACTCAGAAAGCAGGTCAGTGGGTTGGTCCGAAAGTGTAGGAGATGTTGATCCGAAGACATGCTGTACTGATGGCGAGAAAGAAAGGCAAAAAGTTTACTTATTTAATGTATTTGTGAAGGCTTTCACGGCCGGGATCTAATGGCTGTTGTGGGTTTTTCGGGCTTCTTGGCCGTGTTCTGAAAGTGGTTTTTCCTAACGTTTCGCCAGTCTCTGTGGCCGGCATCTTCAGAGGACAGCACTCTGATATCTTCTGGGAACATCTGCTGGATAAGTATCAGGCTACTCCAAAAATGAAATCAAAAGAGCCATCAAACCAAGAAAACAACACCGAACTGAAGAAGAAAAACAGCCACCCACAAACAAAGTATTTCTGCCATACATCAAAGGGGTCACAGACCGCATGGGGAAGCTTCTGGAAAAACAGAACTTACAAACAGTATTCAAGCCCACCACAAAAATACAACGTTACGGTCAGCAAAGGACAAAAGGGACCCCCTCACCACTGCAGGAGTATACCGGATACCTTGCAGTTGTGGCCAGGTATACATTGGAACCACAAAACGAAGCATCCACACCAGAATCAAAGAACATGAGAGACACTGCAGACTAAAACAACCAGAAAAATCTGCAGTAGCTGAACATGCCCTGAAACAAACTGGACATGAAATTCTATTTCAAAATACTGAAATACTGGACAACACCAGCAATTATTACGTCAGACTGCACAGGGAAGCCATTGAAATCCACAAGCATCAACAAAACTTCAACCGGAAGGAGGAATGTCTGCAACTCAACAAAACCCGGCTCCCAGCTCTCAAAAACACAGTGTGCAAAAGGTCAACGAACTCCACCCAGCCACAAGGTCAGGGGATTACTGCACACAAAAGACCAGCTAATGACACCCATCAACCACAGGGACAGATAATCTCCCCTCCTTATCAAAACAATACATCCACAACAAAACACATTAATCAACCATCTCCTGATTAGGAAAATAGCCTACCTCACAAACTAGCCTTCTCACAGCCATAAATACTCCACCCACTCTCAAGCCTACCCACAGCACAGTTTGCTGTCCTCTGAAGATGCCGGCCACAAAGACTGGCGAAACGTTAGGAAAAACCACTTTCAGAACATGGCCAAGAAGCCCGAAAAACCCACAACAACCATTAACTTATTTAGAAGAGTTTTAAGTTTTGCCTCATTCTTCCCATTGACTTTGCTGAGATTAGATTTGCTCGCTGATTGCTTTATACCACACGGACAACCCCCAAAGATGGTTTTGGCTCTCTGGTACTTCTCCAGGGTTCTCTTTTTTTACACACACAGACTTACAAAGTGAATTGAAGTTGCCAAGACTCCATGTGCCTCTTCCAAGGAGCAGATAAATCTGGAACTTATGACCACCATTTAGTCTGCCACTGGCATCCAGCCAGCCAGCTCTCAGCCAAGGTGATCTTGAAGCTTGAATACCATTATTCATTATGGATTCCCTATTGGTTCAGTGAGGTATTTGTCAGAAATACAGGCGTTGATACCTGCAAACGCCCTGCTTTCTGGAGCTTAAATGACTGTGGAAGGGTCTTGGCACAACTAAGGATATTGAACAGCGGCAGTGGTTGTTTAAGAAAAAGTCAGTTGGGTTGATGAAATAGAAAAAGAAAGATGAGAAAAATTAAACCTGGCATTTCATAACGCAGTGTTCTCTGCATATATTCAGAAAGCAGCCTCTTCTGAATTCAATGGGGTTCATTCTAAGATATACACCTGTGGGGAAGCAGTCTTCATTTAATTCTTTTAACTTATTTAAACTCTTGTTTAATTTCTTTGACTTACGAGCAATAGTTCTACATAACAAGGATTTAAATGATCTGGACCCAGATTCTATTATCCAAATCAAATAATTTTTTTTAAAAAATCCATTATTTCAGGATAGAAGACACAAAGCTCAGAAGACTCTGGAACAAAATCTTCCTAGCGAGGAGGAAATTCAACAGGTCCCATCCAGCAGTCAACATCTGTCGAATTCCTGCCTGTCACAAATCAACAGAACTAGCTTCCTGATTTACAGCTTTGTCATCATTGAATTTCCTTTCTTACGTTCGCTTAAGTCTTTTGAAGTATTTTGCCCTCCCCTCCTTTAATTTTGCCCAAATGCTGAGACAGACCCGAACACGGCTCTTTCTTTGCAAAAGATCTCTACTCCTATATCCTAGCTGAGCCACAATTAATAAACCACTCGGTAACATTCACGAAGGCATAACGATGGCAGCCACAATAACAGAGAACCTGCTCGAGTGCCTTTTGGAACGTGCCTGGAAAACGGGAGAGCCCGTCAATAGAGACAAGAGGGCCCGCGAGAGCCGGAAGTCGATCTTGGACCACACGGGAACCCTAGCCCTTTGGTAGCGTGAGGGCGCGCGGGGGGGGGCGAGCCGGAAGTGGTGTCGCTGGTGTTCTCTTCCTCTTCCGGGTGACGGGCTGAGTCACTGAGTGTCCCCCCCGGCCCGGCCTCTCTGCTTGTCCGCCGTTCCTTCTTTTCCGGCGTCTCGGCGCGTCGTTCTTGCGTGCCTTCGCTTGCCTTTCCTTCCTGCCGCCGCGATGCCGCTGGAGAACCTGGAGGAGGAAGGCCTGCCCAAGAACCCGGACCTCCGCATCGCCCAGCTCCGCTTCCTCCTCAGCCTGGAGCCCCAGCGCCCGGACCCCGCCGTCCGGCAGGAGCTCATGGCCGCCATCCGCCAACACGGTGAGGCGCCTGAGGGAGGAAAGAGAGGCAGGGGAAGCGGGGGCGGGTAGGTGGGCTCTCTGCCTGGCCGGGGAAGCTCCGTCTTCTCTGCCTCCTTCGGACGCCCTTGAGTGGGTTGGGTCGTGCGTGGACTATGGCTCTCGGCGGCGGCGGGGGGGGGAAGCATTCTGTACATGCTCAGAGGAACAACGTTTGTGGGAAGAACCGCCACCCCAACCCACGGCGGGGTGTGCTGCAGCCCGGCATGGCTCCGGGGTGGCAGTTGGGCGCTGACGAGGAGGGAACCATACATATAGGTGAGTTCGGGAGCTGAGTCACAGGGGTGGCTGCTCTGGGGAAACAACCAGGAGCTAGAAAACCTTGTGGGTGATCTCTTGCAGATCGCTTGGAGGTCGATCAACACATTCAGATCTAGCTGCGATTTGGTGGCAAAGGGAGAAGCCATAGTTCGGGGCCCTGGAAAGCAGTGGGAGGAACCAGGCAGGTCGAGTACTGTAGGTAGCGGTGGTGGCAGTAGCCCTGTCCCCACTTCAGCACCCAGGGGGGATCTCCGACATTTTAAGCAGAAATGTTTAAAATCCCACCGAAAGAGGCTGGAGTGATTCCCTGCCTCTTCACTCCTTCTCCAGCCTGAGAACATAACAGTAAAACCACGAGCCCAGCTAAAGCACTTCAGCAGAGGATGCAAGACAGATCTGTGAGTAAAGTGGAGTTAGAGAGCAATGGAGGAACTACAGTAATTTGAGCAGGCTGTTGCTGTGGAAGGCGTTGTCTCTTATTTCAGAGGAATTAATTAGAGCAGGCTATTGCTGTGGAAGGCGTTGTCTCTTATTTCATCTTCATTTCTTTCATTTTTAGTTACCTCTTTCCCACTTTTCACAGCTCTACCTGTTTATATGGACAACAGTTAAGGAAATGCAGCAGTTAAAAATGCAATTGAAGTGACGTGTATTTTAATGCAAACACAGTTCAGTTTGTTTCAGTGCAAACACAAGTGCCTAAAGTGTATTGGTAAAAGAGTACAACAAAAAGTAGTACAGTACATGTTAAATTACAGTTATGCCTGCACAATGTTTGAATTGCCATCATCCATTCTCCTGTATTCGGTGCCCGTTTTTTCCACATAGTTTTTCACTCTGTTCCATCAATTGTCTTTTTACTACTCCATAATAAGTTGCCCATATGCTCTTCATGTTTTCAAAAAGAGCAATTGCTAAATGAACTTTCCTTGCTATTTGTATTATTGGTTGCTCATTTTCTGAATGGTAGAGCAGCTTTCTGTCCATTTTCTCATCTGAAAGGCGCAAGAGGGCTACGGCTTTATTATTACATGAGAGAATGAGTCACCTGTCAATACCAGGAATACAGTGGGGTCTTGACTTAAGAAATGAGAGAATGAGTCACCCGTCAATACCAGGAATAACTGTTTAACTTGTCTTTTGATAACTGCCTTCTCAGACATGGCTCCATACTACGAGTCTCTCTGCAAGTCACTTGATTGGCCAGTAGATACGGAACTGTTAAACAAGATGAAGAAAGCAAATGAGGAGGAGCTGAAGCGCCTTGATGATGAATTGGAAGATGCTGAGAAGAACTTGGGGGAAAGTGAAATCCGTGATGCTATGATGGCCAAAGCAGAATACCTCTGCCGAATTGGGGACAAGGTAGGTGAAAGGGCTCAGCTTTCACAGGCTATGAAGTGATTACTTATGACTATGCCCTTATATTCCTATTAGCTGGCATTAATTTAGAACATCCTGTTTCGTCAGTAGTGTATGTATGGAGGTGATGATTGTGTGGACAAAGATAAAATGCTTTGAGATGACCTGAGCAAACCCTGCTTAGAATGGCTGCACTGTCTGAAAGTTGACTGACGAACAAAATATCGGGGGCCTTCCACAGCGGAGGCTCTTCCTTCTTTAAGTTCTTATTACATACAGTAGGAGTGGGGAGTAAATGGCCCTCTAGATGTGTGTTTGCAACTCCCACCACAAATGCCCACTTTCTCTGCTTTATTAAGCAAAGAAGATTTCTGATGTTCTACCTGTGCGTAGATGGTACCTGTTACTGAGCTATTATCTGTGCCCTCTTAACATTAGCAAATGTGCTTCTCTCAGGAAGCTGCGCTGACTGCATTTCGGAAGACCTATGACAAAACTGTGGCTCTGGGACACCGGTTGGATATTGTGTTTTATCTTCTCCGAATTGGTCTGTTTTATATGGACAATGACCTCATCACAAGGAACACTGAAAAAGCAAAAAGGTAGGTTTTCTGTTTTTACAGCACCAAGGAGGGGCAACTCCCTTGTCATATTCTCTGTCGGGATTTGAAATTGGAGCTAGCAATGGAATTCATTCCCAAAGTGGAACATGAGGGAAAGAGGAAATTCCATTGCCATGTCCTGTCTGAAGGAAGAGGCTGGAGTTAGCCATGTGATTTCTCCTTACCTTGCTCATGTACGTGTCTGTATGTACTGGGGGAATACTTGGGAGTGTTGGTTCTTAACTTACAGGTTTTTAAATGTCTTTCACTTGTTTTATATTTGATTGTTTTAATCTTAATTTTTGTTTAAATGTTTTTTTAAATGTGATATGTACTGTTTTTAAATTTCTTGTTTTATCTGTTGTGAACTGCTTTGGGTCACAACAGATAAAAATATATACAATAAGTAATACATAATACTTCTGTTACTTACAGTGTGAACAGGTTTTTAAATGTCTTTCAATTGTTTTATAGTTGATTGTTTTAATCTTAATTTTTGTTTGTTTTTTAAATGTGATATGTACTGTTTTTAAATTTCTTGTTTTATCTGTTGTGAACTGCTTTGGGTCACAACAGATAAAAATATATACAATAAGTAATACATAATACTTCTGTTACTTACAGTGTGAAATTAGAGGTCTCTTTACATAAAAAGGGGGAAATTGATACTTGGGAACAGGTGGTGTAGATAATATGAGAATAAGGTGGATCTTACTTAGCTATATGATGTTATGCAGACTGCCAGCTTGATACTGGGCAAAAATCTGGCTCCTGGCACCAATCAGTGACCTCATTCCTGCTGTAGAAAATGGATGGAAGCTACTAAAAAAAGTAAAAGGCATCTGAGGCAGATAATCTTGGTGTGTAAAATATGAGTAGATGACTATTGATCAACAAGTAATACCAGTCTTGAAGTGGTGGGATTGTCTGGTTGATATGGACTGTCTGGTTGATATTGAATGAGTTGTTTATGTTTCATGGATTGAAATAAAAAAAGTGGGATGAAATGTAGCACTTACAGAAACATTAACCCTAAGAAAAAAAGAGTGTTTGGTTTTTTTAGATGATATGGAAATATTGGGAAATTGAAATATGCAGAATATATATGAAACTTATATTCATTTTAAAAACTTGAAATGACTTGTATACCGGAGGAGCATAATTTATATATAACAAAACAAAACAAAACAACCTAATTTTTTATTCAACAAAAGTTCACAAACTTACCCAGCACTGGAGATGGAGCTTCAGATAATTCCAGTTTCAGTTGGGAAAACAGGAAGGGAAATAAATTTAAAAGTTAAATATAAAAGCATTCCATATCTTCGTGATCTGGAAATTCTCATTTGGTCTGAGAAAGGTATGTAGACATGATTGTTATCCAGAAAATTGTACTGTTAGAATGCTCAGAAAATAAATATACCTGCAGGATAATTAAAGATTAGGATATACAGTAGTGGGATATTCATTTAAACTTCCCAATAATATTGGGTTTTTCAGCATTGTGCTGTCATCATACCTAGGCTGTCCATTTACCTGGGTAGATATCTCCGTTAGACCTATTTGTCTTGTTATTGCTTCTTGTCTTATTATTTAAATAATTAAAAAAATTAAATTGTGATTTAAATCAATTTGACATTTTAAAAAATAATTGATTTTTATCACCCTGATAAATATTTGGGCTGAACTGCAAGAATCAGAAAGCGGATAAAATTATCTGTCCTGAGCTCTTGCTTATTTCCTTTGGTGATTGTTTGCTGTGAACCTTATGGGTTCAGAAAGTGGAAGTTTTATAGCAATTGAAATGTACCTCCCCCCCTTTTCACATTTGGTTTATTTGATGCAGGATATAATAATCTGAGACAGGTGAAAAACAGTGATGAACAGTGTGGCACAAACACCCTGCTATCCTGATAAGAGCAGCAATATAACTGGCACACTCTCACACTGCAGTTGTGGAGTGAGCAGCTGAAATGGTTTTAATCACTACACAGTATTTTATAGTCCTTTTTCCAGCATCAAATCCCAAATGCACGTGTGATCTAGTAATCCCGTTAACTGTAGAAATGGTGATGTTCTCCATAATGTTCTACTGATCTAAGCATTTTTCAGCAAAATGGATTATAATTAGCAGCTTTTTAAAAAAAGATATTCCTATTATAAAACAATTTCCTTGTTTGGCAATGAATGTATTTTCATGAGAACCTTTATTCTGACTGTAAAAATGTTTTTCTAAAATTGCCCATTTTACTCTAGTTGGTTTGTGCTTTTAGTTATTGCTGTTGCATTCTCGAATGCTGTTCTTTCATTACTTGTTATGTGAGGAGAAGCTTCCTTCCTTGACTGAACCATTAGAGGCCAGTTTACAGCTTTAGCATGTTCACACTGCAGACTTGGTTGTGGCATAAACTCAAATCTGCTTATTCCTTATTATCCAGACCATTCAGCAATTACAGGTTTTTGTTTTGTTTTATAATAATTGACCTCTTGGTCCTTGAACACCAGTGTTAGCAGAAGCACTTGAGCCCAACTCTCATTGCCCAGATGGAAGTTCACTCGTGTTATTCAGAAAAACCAGTATCAACGAAAGGTCCTCCTGCCTTGGCTTAGTTCACTTGGGCAAAACTTTCTAGATGCTGCCGTGTGAAATGTTCTCAGAGCTGATGCTTGAGTTGTCAAAATAGGTTAAAGACTCCCAGGAGGACAAAGATCATAGTAGGATATTGCTTTATTTGCTTAACTAATTATCTTGCAGCCATTCAGATTTAATGAAATGTATGCACATGGCTGAGGACTGCAGGGGACCAATGTGTATCTCTCTCTCTCTTTTTTTTTTTTTACAAAGCCTAATAGAGGAAGGAGGAGACTGGGACCGGCGGAATCGTCTGAAGGTCTACCAGGGCCTTTACTGTGTGGCCATTCGCGATTTCAAGCAGGCAGCCGAGCTTTTCTTGGATACAGTTTCAACTTTTACATCATACGAACTCATGGATTACAAAACCTTCGTAACCTACACAGTCTACGTCAGTATGATTGCATTAGACAGGCCTGACCTTAGAGAAAAGGTGAGTCGAGCAGTTCTGTGCACCAAGAGCCAGCGGTGGGTGGGTTTCCTTCTTCCTCCTGTGACTGGTTTTTCTTTTTGCCTGGTCTTTAGGTGATCAAAGGCGCAGAGATCCTGGAAGTACTGCATAGTTTACCAAAAGTGCGGCAATATCTTTTTTCACTCTACGAATGCCGGTATTCCGTTTTCTTCCAGTCACTTGGTGAGGAATGGCTTTGCTTCCTGTTGTGGGCAACATACATAATCCTCCAGTCTGTTGGTATCCAGACATTTTTGGCATTATGTCTGTTGCGTTGAGAAACAGTGAAGGTCCCCAGCTCTCCTTTGCCCTCAATGTCAAGCCCTGTGCCTCAATTAAATTTGTGGTTTCATATTAAATACCATAATGTAGTAAAAATTATTTGAAATTAAAATGAGCACAAATAGTGTTTTGTGTCACAAAAAATAAAAGTGTAGGTGTCATAACTTCCTTATTTTACATTGAAGTCATATCATAATCATGTTCCTAATATGTGTATAACAGCAATGGATAAAATGGGTTATTTATTTTTATGTTTGTTTAAAATATGTTTACCCTGCCTTTCTCCTTAAAAAAGGACCCAAGGCTGCTAAGATGGTTAGGAGTTAATATTTAAAAGCTAAAAACAGTATATAAATATTAAAAATAATCAAATACCACAATAAAAATACCATGATGGAAGTTGGTTTGTTTCAAAAGCTTGTATACTGCCCAACTAATACTAGGCTTTACATCAAAAGAAAGTAAAAGTTATATAGAAAACAAAACAAATAATTATAATGATAAAACAATTCATGAAAATAAGCACATAGTCAAATTAAACAGTAAAATCAGTACCACAATAAAAATACCATGGTGGAAGTTGGTTTGTTTCAAAAACTTGTATACTGCCCAATTAATACTAGGTTTTACATCAAAAGAATAGAGAGTAAAAATTATATAGAAAACAAAACAAATGATAATGAGAAAACAATTCATGAAAATAAACACATAGTCAAATTAAACAGTAAAATCAGTGAATCTAAGCCTAAAACTAGGCAGACACAGATAGTGGAAGGATGATAACATAAGCCTTACCAGGAAGGATGGTGCCACAACCGAGATGTTTATTTACATGTGCTAACATTTGAACTACTACTTTAAATATAGCTTGCCACTAGTGTTTTATCACTGTTACGGCCTGGTATAATGGTGCAGTACTCTGCAAGCTTTTGAGTTCTAACATTGAGGCTTAATTTTGAAATGGAAAGGTCATTTTTTAAAAAAAACATGAAATGCATAAATGACACATTTGGAGGTCCAGCTAGATCTTAGGAATGAGAAACATTTCTATCATGTAATAAGCCAGTGAGATCTAGTGGTTTATGGACTTGGGAGATCCAGGTTAGAATCCTCCTTGAGCCATGAGGGTAGATTTGGTTCAGAGGAGGTGTGCACGGAAAGGACTGTTCAGCACATGGTTAATAAACAAGAGGATACTGGAAATAGTCTTCATCATATGTGATGTTGTATGTCTGTATTTCAGCTACAGTCGAGCAAGAGATGAAGAAAGACTGGTTGTTTGCACCTCACTATCGCTATTATGTCCGGGAAATGAGAATCCATGCCTATAGCCAGCTCCTAGAATCCTATCGGTCACTTACACTAGGTTACATGGCGGATGCTTTTGGGGTCTGTGTAGAGTTCATAGATCAGTAAGTATTCTCTAGAAATACTTGTGTACAGTGTGCAGTAACAGTAATGCTTTTTTCTTGTAGAAAATATGTAGTAAAAGTATTGAGATATGGAAAAGGGAGGTCCATGGATCACAAGACTTGAAAAGTCTAGCACAAGATATACTTAAAAACATGCTGTATTTAAAGATGTTGGATTTTAGCACAGGTCCTTGGGGAAGGATAGGCAGAAGCAAAGAAATTCAGGCTGGCTGACAACGTGTCCAGATATACTGTAGTTAGCAGTTATTTTCCTACTGCTTAACCTAACTTCCAAGTTAGAAAAATAGGTGCATGAAAGCTATAGGAAGGGATCTTTGGCCAGGAATATGGCACATGGACACTGGCAACCTCACACTGTCACACGTCCTATTTTAAAATTCGTGTGAAGGTTCAGTGGGTACCAACTCATGAAAAGAAACTGGTAGCATGTCTACAGCCTTCCTCTTGCCCTGCCTCTGCTGGAACATACTGTCCATGCAGATCACAGATTCTAATTGCAAGGTATTCAAGGAAGGATCAAGGGTGGCCTGCAAGAGTTGCATTTAGGAAAGGGCAATGTTGGTAGGAGGCTGGGTTTCTTTATCTACTTATTTGATTTATATCCTGGCCTATATATGATCTCCTTTTATATAGATAAAAAATTTCAGTACCTTGGTGCTTGGGAATTGTCAATATGGCAATGCAGACAGCTGGTCAGTTTTGCTAGAAAATGCTGCCAAATATTTTCAGAGCCTTCAAGTGAGATGAATCTTAACATATTTTTAATTCCCCAAAACAGGGAACTTTCAAGATTTATTGCTGCTGGAAGATTACACTGCAAAATAGACAAGGTCAATGAGATAGTAGAAACTAACAGGTACTTGTCAGATTTTTACGTGTTTGTATCCTGCTTTTCTCCTTCATAAAAGACTGTTGGCAGCTTACAAAAATATTTTAAAATTCACAATTAAGAACATACTGATTAATCAGTAACAAATATTAGTTCTATTTTGACTCCTGTGTTATTTAACATTACATGAAACTGCTGGGAGAGCTTGTCTGGTGTTTTGGGGTTCGGTGTCACCCATCACCCTGCCATCTAAATTTGAAGAAGCTGTTTCGACTGTATCATCATCATCATCATCATCTTAGAACTGCAGAGCTGAAAGGGTCTGTAACCAGATGCCTTAAACCACTGAGTTATCCAGCAGTTCTAGATCAGCATCTGGTATCAGTAATGGACTGGATGAGGGTGACTAAACTGAAACTTAATCCAGACAAGACAGAGGTACTCCTGGTCAGTCAGAAGGCAGATCATCGAACTCCTAGCCTCTGGGTCTGTAACCAGATGCCTTAAACCACTGAGCTATCCAGCAGTTCTAGATCAGCATCTGGTATCAGTAATGGACTGGATGAGGGTGACTAAACTGAAACTTAATCCAGACAAGACAGAGGTACTCCTGGTCAGTCAGAAGGCAGATCAAGGAACAGGAATGTGTCCCCTGAAAACTGAAATGTACAGCCTGGGGGTATTCCTGGATTTGTCTCCGAGTGTGAATGCTCAGGGGTTCATTTGCACAGATAAAGCTAGTGCTCTAGCTGTGCCTGTTCCTGGAGAGATCTGATTTGGCCACGGTTACACACATCTTAGTTACATCCTGGCTGGATTACTGTAACACACTCTACATGGGGCTGCCTTTGGAAAGTGTCAGGAAACTTCAGCAGGTCCAAAATGCAGCAACCAGATTGCTAAGTGGGGCTGGTCACAAAGATCACCCCCTGTAACAGCAGCTCCACTAGCTGCCCATCTGTTTCCCAGCACAATTCAGAGTGCTGGTTCTAGCTGATAAAGCTCTTGGGTCCAAGCTATCTCAAAGACTGTGTCTCCCTTTATGAGCCTGTTTTGAGTGTCATCGAGCAGGTTTAGATAATCAAGAGAGACCTTCCTCTCAGTCCTGCCACCTACGTAAATGTGTTTGGTGGGGATACGGGATAGGGCTTTCTCCGTTTCTGCTCCCAAACTTCGGAATTTCCTTCCAAAGGAGGCGAGGCTGGCCCCATCTTTGCTAACTTTCTGCAAGCAGGTAAAGATCTTTCTTTTCAGGCAAGCTTTCTATTAATGATGGGTTTCCTGAGTGGGTTTTTAAAATAGATTGTTGTACCTTACTGATTTGAATGTGTTTTTGGTACTGTTTTTGCTTACCGTTCCTTAAAGTGGATTTGTTTAATCTTCTTTAGTATTTGTACACTTACTGTTTTTAGCTTTACATATTGTTCTTTAATTATGTAAGCCACCTTGCTTTCTTTATAAGTATTTTTAAATACAGTGAGTCGAGCAGGGATGTCCAG